CTTCTTCGCACTTGGGGCATCTTCTGCCGTGCTCCTTGTCTCTTGGGTTCTATTCTGCCGTGCTCCTCGTCTTTTTCTGGTTTGCTCCTTCGCTCTTCGGGCCTATTCTGTCGTGCTCCTGGTCTTTTCTGTCGTACTCCTTGGCTCCTCGGGCCTTTTCTGCTGTGTTTCGGTCTTTTCTGCCGTCGTCCTTAGCTCTTGGGGCATCTTCTGCCGTGCTCCTGGTCTTTTTCTGGCGTCTTTTTCGCTCTTGGGGCCTATGATGCCGTGCTCCTTAGCTCTTGGGGTCTATTCTGCCGTGCTCCTGGTCTTTTTCTGCCGTGCTCGGCAGCTCTTGGAGTCTATTCTGCCATGCTCCTGGTTTGTTTCCGACGTGCTCCTTCGCTCATGGGGCCTATTCTGCTGTGCTCCTGGTCTTTGTCTGCCGTGCTCCTGCTCTTTTTCTGCCGTGCTCCTTCGCACTTGGGGCATATTCTGCCGTGTTCCTTGTCTCTTGGGTTCTATTCTGCTGTGCTCCTCGTCTTCTTCTGGTTTGCTCCTTCGCTCTTGGGGTCTATTTTCCCGCACTCCTTCAGCTCTCGGGGTCTACTCTGGCGTGCTTCTGTTTTTTTTCCTGCCGTGCTCCTTCGCTCTTGGGGCCTATTCTGCCGTGCTCCTGGTCATTATCTGCCGTGCTCTTTAGCTTTTGGGGTCTATCCTGCCGTGCTCCTGGTCTTTCTCTGCCGTACTCCTTCGCACTTGAGGCATATCCAGCCCTGCTCCTTAGCTCCTGGGGTCTATTCTGCCGTGCTCCTGGTCTTTTTCTGCCGTGCTCCTTCGGTCTTGGGGCCTAATCTGCCGTGCTCCTGGTCTTTTTCTGCCTGCTCCTTAGCTCTTCAGGTCTATTCTGCCGTGCTCCTGGTCATTTTCTGCCGTGCTCCTTAGCTTTTGGGGTGTATTCTGCCGTGCTCATTTGCTCTTGGGGTCTATTCTGCCGTGTTCCTTGTCTTTCTCTGCCGTGCTCCTTCGCTCTTGGGGCCTATTCTGCCGTGCTCCGAGCTCCTCATCTTTGTCTGCCGTGTGCGCCCATCTGCCAAGACGACCACCGCGACGATCCGCACGGCAGATACAGGAACACGGCAGAACACACAGAGCACACAGAGGCACGGCAGAACACAGAAGCACGGCAGAACAGGAGCACGGCAGAACATACAGGAGCACAGCAAAACACACCCCGCACGCACGCCGACACGCGCGCCACGGCATACCTGCGCGGCATAACAACAGCAGAGCATTTTCCACATGCTTGGTGGACTAAAGCGACGCTTCCCGTTCTTGTCCGGTCAGGTCTCTTAACTATAGGGGGTGGCGGGGTGCACGGTGTACCAGGCTTAGCGGATTCCTCGGGATGGCGATTTTACGTGAGACATCCTCACAAACATGAGATCTTCGCGACATCGCGTTTAACAAAAACAAGCGTTTCGCTCGAGGCATCCTCGAAAAGTTGATGACAGCGAAATGTCGCCGTCTGTGAAAATTTGCGTTTCGCTCGGGACATCCTCGAAACAATGAGATGACGACTGAAGTCTTAAACTAACTCTTATGTTAAGAATTGCGATTTCGCTAGGGACATCCTCAGAAAACGAGCGGCAGCACGGCGGACCAGAACGAGGAGCACGGCAGAAAATTTGCATTTCGCTAGGGACATCCTCAACAACATGAGATGTCCTCAACGTCGTCTTGGTATCGTTCTCGAAGTACCTCAAGATGATGAAATGAGAGGCCAAAAAGCACGTCAAGATGGCTGTCAGAACTATTGGGGGACTTCCGAAAATAGTGATTTCGCTAGGGACATCCTCAAAACATGAAAACATACACCAGCATCGACTTGAAAACTGTTGTTCTTACATAGTTTTGACTTTGCTTCTGAAAAGCTTCCAGACGGCCCAAGGCAGCCTTCAAAAAATGCCGATTTCGCTAGGGACATCCTCAAAACATTGATGCGTGCGACATCGCATCGTAATGATTTTAGGAGGGCATCAGGAAGCAACAGAAGGCCACAACATGGCCCCAAGAGCGCCCTCAAGGTTGCTGAAAATAGTGATTTCGCTAGGGACATCTTCAAAAACATAACAAATCGAACAACATCGTTTTGAAAACTGCTGTTTTAACATCGTCTGGGGATCGCTCCTGAAAAGGCTTCTAGTTGGTTTAAGCCAGTCATCTAAAAATGACGATTTCGCTAGGGACATCCTGAAAAAATGAAAGTGTGTAACATCGGATTGTAACGGTTTTGTAAGGCATCAAGAAGGCCCCCAAAGGCCCCGAACAAGCATAAATTTGACCCCCAGGATCGCTCTCGAGACGATCCAAAATGGCGATTTCGTCTGAGACATCCTTACAGAAATGAAATGTTCACAACATCGATTTCATCAAAAATGAGCGTTTCGCCTGAGACATCCCTTAAACATGGGGACCCGCGAATTCGACAGATGTTCAAAAACTAGCGTCTCGCCTGAGACATCCTAACAAAAGAATGATATATTGGAGTGGCGGTTTCAATGCCTCTCATGTTTAACATCGCGCTCTCGCTGCATACATCCTCAAAAAATCGCGCGGAACATGGCCGGCGAAAAAAATGCTCCTTCGTTCTTGACGTCTATTCTGCCGTGCTCTTTCGTTCTTGGGGTCTATTCTGAAATGCTCCTTGTTTTTTTGTGCCGTGCTCCTTCGCTCTTCTAGCCTATTCTGCCATGCTCCTGGCCAGTTTCTGTCCCAATCCTTTGTTGTTGGGGCTTATGATGCCGTGCTCCTGGTCGTTTTCTGCCGTGCTCCTTAGCTCTTGGGGCATATTCTGCCGTGCTCCTTCGCTTTCGGGGTTTATTCTGCCGTGCTCCTTGTGGTTTTCTTGCGTACTCCTTCTTCCTTGGGGCGTATTATGCTGTATTCTTGCATCTATCTTGCCGTACTCCTTAGCTCTCGCGGTCTATTCTGCCGTGCTCCTGGTCACTGGGCGTGTTTTGCAATGCTCCTTCTTTCCTGGCGCCTATTCTGCCATGCTCCTCAGCTCTTGGGGTCTATTCTGCCGTGCTCCTGTTGTTTTTCTGTCATGCTCCTTCGCTCTTGGGGCCTCTTCTGCCGTGCTCCTCAGCTCTTGGGGTCTATTCTGCCGTGCTCTTTGTTTTTTTTTCTGCCGTGCTCCTTCGCTCATGGGGCCGATTCTGCCGTGCTCCTGGTCTTTTTCTGCCGTGCTCCCTAGCTATGGGGTCTATTCTGCCGTGGTCCTGGTCTTCTTCTGCCGTGCCCCTGAGCTCTGGGGGTCTATTCTGCCGTGCTCCTGGTCATTTTCTGTCGTGTTTCTTCGCACTTGGGGCATCTTCTGCCGTGCTCCTTGTCTCTTCGGGCCTATTCTGCCGTGCTCCTGGTCTTCTCTGTCGTACTCCTTGGCTCCTCGGGCCTTTTCTGCTGTGCTTCGGTCTTTTCTGCCGGCGTCTTCTGCCGTGCTCCTGGTCTTTTTCTGGCGTCTTTTTCGCTCTTGGGGCTTATTATGCCGTGCTCCTTAGCTCTTGGGGTCTATTCTGCCGTGCTCCTGGTCTTTTTCTGCCGTGCTCGGCAGCTCTTGGAGTCTATTCTGCCATGCTCCTGGTTTGTGTCCGACGTGCTCCTTCGCTCATGGGGCCTATTCTGCTGTGCTCCTGGTTTTTTTCTGCCGTGCTCCTTCGCACTTGGGGCATATTCTGCCGTGTTCCTTGTCTCTTGGGTTCTATTCTGCTGTGCTCCTGGGCTTTTTTGGGTTTGCTCCTTCGCTCTTGGGGTCTATTTTCCCGCACTCCTTCAGCTCTCGGGGTCTACTCTGGCGTGCTTCTGTTTTTTCTTCTGCCGTGCTCCTTCGCTCTTGGGGCCACTTCTGCCGTGCTCCTGGTTTATTCTCTGCCGTGCTCCTTAGCTTTTGGGGTCTATCCTGCCGTGCTCCTCGTCTTTCTCTGCCGTACTCCTTCGCACTTGAGGCATAGCCAGCCCTGCTCCTTAGCTCCTGGGGTCTATTCTGCCGTGCTCCTGGTCTTTTTCTGCCGTGCTCCTTCGCTCTTGGGGCCTGATCTGCCGTGCTCCTGTTTTTTCTGCCGTGCTCCTTCGCTCTTGGGGCCACTTCTGCCGTGCTCCTGGTCATTCTCTGCCGTGCTCCTTAGCTTTCGGGGTCTATCCTGCCATGCTCCTCGTCTTCCTCTGCCGTACTCCTTCGCACTTGAGGCATATCCAGCCCTGCTCCTTAGCTCCTGGGGTCTATTCTGCCGTGCTCCTGGTCTTTTTCTGCCGTGCTCCTTCGCTCTTGGGGCCTGATCTGCCGTGACTACTGGTTCTTTTTCGCCTGTCCTGAGCTCTGGGGTCTCTTCTGCCGTGCTCTGGTATTTTTCTGGTGCCCTTAGCAAGGGGTATCTGTCCGTTACTCATTTGCTCTTGGGGCCATCTTGCCGTGCTCCTTGTCTCTCTGCCGTGCTCCTTCGCTCTTGGGGTTTGTTTTTCCGTGCTCCCATCTTTGTTGGCCGTCAGCCCCAGAAGCTCTGCAAAAACGACCACCGCGACGATCCGCACGGCAGATACAGGAACACGGCAGAACACACAGAGCACACACAGGCACGGCAGAACACAGAAGCACGGCAGAACAGGAGCATGGCAGAACACACAGGAGCACAGCAAAACACACCCCGCACGCACGCCGACACGCGCGCCACGGCATACCTGCGCGGCATAACAACAACAGAGCATTTTCCACATGCTTGGTGGACTAAAGCGACGCTTCCCGTTCTTGTCCGGTCCGGTTTCATTTACGTCCCTGGCCCCCCCCCCTGGGCCGCGCGCCTGCCGCTGGCCATGATTTGCACCCCCCCCCCTCTTGGACGCCCCCCTCTTGGCCGCGCCCGAAGGCTCGCCGTGGCAGGGCAGCGCCGGGCAGTCCTCCGGGCCGCCCGCGAGTTGGTCGACGTACATTTTTCGCCCCCCTTGGCGCGCGCGCGCTCGCGGAGGACCGCGCCCCGGGCGACTTCCCCACCTGCGGCCGCCTCGGCGTCCCCTGGTGCCCCCAGGGTGAGTAGGGAGGGAGAGGGGGAAGGGGGGGGACAAGGGAGAGGGGGGGGGGGGGCGGAGGAAGGAAGAAGGAAGGCGGAGAAAGGGAGAGAGGAGGAGGAAGGAGGAGGAGGAGGAGGAGGAGGAGGAGGAGGAGGATGAGGAGGAGGGGAGGAGGAGGAGGAGGGAAAATAGGAAGACGCGGAGGAGGAGGGGGGGGGCAGCAACGAAGAAAAATGTGAAGGTCCAGCCTGGCATGCCCAGGGCTCACGACGCAGGCGACCGCCTGGGCGGCCCCACCCCCCAGGGGGGAGGCCACCTGGGAGGTCCAGAGTCTGGACCAGCGCAGGCCCCGCCAGGTCGCCCAGGACCCGACTGTGGAGTCCCGACGTGCTCGCGCGGTGAAAACGTGACGACGGGAGGGTTTGGGCCATTTTCGGCCTCTGGAGACTCGCAGGCGATCGCAAACATGGATCAAGGGGTCGCGGATCAGCGACGGGTCCCGTTTCCATGGGAAATCGCGGAGTTCCGCCGCCGAACGAGGCGGCACCGGCCGCATTTTGGGGAAAGCACCTCCCCCGATCCATGGATTTGGCGACCGCTCGCCAAATCCATAGATCGCTAATCCATGTTTGCGCGCCCCCGAAAAAAGCTGGTCATGGGGAAAGGGTTGGGACTTCCAGAGACCCCGCATTGGAGAAAAACGCATCGCATGTCTGGTAGTGTTCAGTTGCGGGAGGCATCGCCTGGTCCGCCAGGCCGTGATCCCGCTGGTTGGCACTCGTCAGGGGCTGAGCGGGCATCAGCTTGGCGGGGCTTCCTGGAGTCAGCGTAGACACCGCTGGCCGTACAGTCGGCACAGATTAGTAGGTCGACCCTGCCAAATCGAGGGTACCCTTGTGTCCTGTGTCTCGCGACCCATGCTTCGTACATTCCCGTGGCGATGTGGCCCTCGAAAGGGTCTCGTGTCCTCTCGCGTGTCCTCTCCAATCACGCCCGACTGTCCAGGACGTGGACTCTCTGTTCCCTGGAGGCGCACGCAGAACCCGCCAGGGAGGCTCTCCTGGGGCCCGAGCGGGCCCTGCCAGTCTTAAGTCGGGCCTGTCCCCCTACAGGGGGAGCTTCGACGAAAAATAAGAAACACCCCAAACATAGTCAGGGGACTATTTTGGGGGTATCTTTTGGCCTGTTTGGAGTATTTTTGAGTTTTTTTTTATTTTTCGTCGAAAATCCCCCCTGTAGGGGGACACGCCCGACATAATGCCAGTCGGTTTCCCCCAGGGCCCGGCTTTACCCCGCCTTGTCTTTTTGGGGCTCCGGCAGATTCCGGCGGACGCGGCTTCCCGTGGCGGGTGAGGAGGCTTTTTTTGGCTTGAGGCGGGCATGGCGCTTTTGCGTGCCACTGTGGTGCCCGAAGGGCGCTCCAGTGGGGCGCCCTTGGAGGGCCGACATCCTAGAAGGGCGGAGGAGGGGGGAAGGGGCTTTCGGTATTTCCGCTGCTTCGTGGAGGGTTCTCGCTCCGGGACGCGCTCCAGCAGCCGTGCCTCGCCGAGAGCGTTCCATGCGGGGGCGGCGGGCGAATCGTCCCGAGCGGCCGTGCGATTATGGCCCGAAGGCCAGACCTCTTTGCCTTGTTAAGAACTATCGGAGGACAGCTTCCGCCCATTTTCGGCCTCGTCGGGGGCCTTGCCAGGCCCCCGAGCGCTGTCTGAAAGACGGACCGAGATGAAAATGTGGTCCCAAGGAAAGATCGGGACCTCGAGGCCCACGTTGTGAAAACGCATGAAGTCGGAAATCAGAGAAGGTCTGGGGGGAGGGAAGAGGAGGGGCACAAGTGTAAACCCAAGACGCATCAGAGATGTCGCACTAAATCCTCCCTCCAAGGTCCCTCTTCATAGGTCCCTGCAATAATTCATTTTCATGCTAGCAAGTGGCCCATGAGAAGACAATCGTCTCATACTTTGCAATCGTACCAAAACATGATTCCCTGGACTTCAACGCTGCGGATCAATGTGACTGGTGCGCCCTGACAGTCCTCAAGCGTGCCAGAACAACATTCCTGGGACTTCATCACCGCGAATCAAGAATGAGGATAATTATGATGTGATGATGATGATGATGATGATGATGATGATGATGATGATGATGATGATGATGATGATGATGATGATGCTGATGATGATGATGCTGATGATGATGATGCTGATGATGATGATGCTGATGATGAGGAGATTGAGATGATGATGATGATGATGATGATGTATGATTGATGATGATGATGATGATGATGATGATGGGAGGAGGAGGAGGAAGGAGGAGGAGGAGGAGGAGAGGAGGCGGGGGACGAGAAGTAGTAGGAGGAGGAGGAGGAGGAGGAGGAGGAGGACGAGGAGGGGGATGGGGGAGGGGAGGGGCAGGAGAAGGAGGAGGGTGTGAAGGAGGAGGATGGCGAGGAGAAGGCAGGGGACCAGTGTCAGCCCAATGCGCACCAATCATGTTCCAATATGCCCTCCCAAGTTCCCCCTCCACAGCCCCCTGCAGTGATTTATGCTCATGGCTGGGAGTGCCTCACTGGAAGACAGCCGTGTGAGAAATTCCAACCGTGCCAAAACACAACTCCTGGTACTTCAGTGCCGCGAATCAATATGCTGTTGCGTCGTGACGATCCTGAATCGTGCCAGAATGCTATTCCTGGGACTTCAACACAGCGATTCAGCATGACTGCTGCGTCCCGACAACCCTACATCTTGTCAGAACACCATTTCTGGAACTCCAACCAAACGACTCTTCAAGAGTGGCGCAAACGCTCAAGACGAATGTACATGGTGCCAAGGCGAGAACCGCATTTTGAAATGGAGGTGCCCTCCGTCCGTGAAGCTGAGCAAACGTTCAAGACGAAAGTCTGCGGCGCTAAGACGAGAGCCACATTGTGATAGCGACCCGCGTTCCATCTCTGACACTGTTGCCAATTCTTAGGGCGGACGTGCGCGGCGCGGGTGCGAGAGCCAGGTTATCGAGAGGATCATCCGCCCCCCCATCCGTGAAGCTGTTGCGCACTTTTAGGAAGAATGTGCGCGGCGCGGATGCGAGGGCCACGTTCTGAGGAGGGCACGCCCGACATCCGTGAAGCTGTTACGAGTTTCAAGCTTCAGGATCATGGCTGGTGAGGAAGGAAGTCTCAGGTGGGACGCCCTGCCCGCCCTACCAACAAGCTTGGTGGTGCTACAGGGAGGAGTTGCTTACAAGTGACATGATAGAGGAGGAGGGGCAGGGGGCAAGCTAGGTGCGCTCGCGTCACATGTGACATCCTACCCCTCCCTCCCATCCCTTACCATGGCGTAGATCCCCTCTCTACTCGCACAGTCGGATGTCGAGCAGGGCAATGATCCCGAAAGGGTACGCGATGCATTGTAGAGCACGGCATGGCATGGCGTAGAAGAGCACCGCAAAGCGTAGTATCAACCTAGCATTGCATTGCATGCCGTGGCATGGCACGGGAAATGACGCCAGCGCTGCAGCGGGAGCACGAGTCGGAACGAGCGGAAGCGCGGAAATGAGGCCAGCGCTGCAGCGGGAGCACGATTCGGAACGAGCGGAAGCACGGAAATGAGGCCAGCGCTGCAGCGGCAGCACGATTCGGAACGAGCGGGGCCCAAAAATGAGGCCGGCGCCTCAGCGAGAGCAGCATTTTTGAAACAAATGCAGGCGAAAACCCAACTCCGGGAAATCTTGCGCGGAAAAACAGTACGCGGGGGGGGGCTAACACTTTCAAGCCGTCATCAGGGGAAGAGGGAGAATAGTATTCATATTGAGTGATTGTAGAGGGAGGACGAGGAGTGGGGGGAGGGGGGGAGGGGGAGGATGAGGAGGGGGTGGGAGGGTTCAAGGGGCACAGGCCCTCTGCTCTTGTTCTCGTGCTTCTTACCTCGCACTCCCCATGCCCACCGTTGTTTGTTTCGTTAACCATATGCGAGGTCGCTCCCCAGCCAAAGGAGCTGCTATGCACAACCAGTGTTTCGACTCTAATAGCGGAGCCTGGTTGAGGCCGGACGCGGGTGGACATCCGCCATCCTGGCCTACCAGGTTCACGCCCCTCGCTCGCCTCTCGCGGTCTGCGGAGGACGGATGCAGGCAGAATCAGCCGTCTGCAGCAGTCAGCTCTCTCTGACATGTTGGTGGCTCGTCACAATCCGTATTGGCGGTCTCAAATCTCGCCATGGTCATGACCGACTTGCGCCGACAGAAACGATGTCGAACCACACAGATTACGACAACGGGTGCCAGCAGAGCAGCCTGGGATACTGCTCGCAATGTGGATGCGCAGATGACGCCTTCGTAGCGCCTGAACGCGCAAGCGGCCATGTAGAGCACCGGCAAGGTAACACTATACCAGGGCCCCAGGCTGGAGCTCCAGGGTTGTTCTCATGAGCTGGCAACCAGTAGCCATACCTATGTGGCGCCCAGAATTCTCGGCGTGGAACTCTTGGGGGGGCCACGACGGAAATTGGAGCGATGAGGTGCATCGGCGTCACCCCAGCATACTGATACTATATGTGCGTCGCCCCCCCCCCCCCCCCCCCCTACGGGCGCCGCGCGCCACCGAGAAATCTTATAGTGTATGCGTCGTGGCGGGCGCCTTCTGGCCACACCGCTCGGGAAACGAATATACCACAAGATGGGTACATGGTATGTTTGGGTCGGACGCGCGCCTCCAAGGAGGGACATATCCCTCCTACTTCCTCCTCCCATTCCTCCTCCTCCTCTCTCCTCCTCCCCCTCTCCCTCCTTCTTCCTCCCTCCTCTCCTCCTCCCTCCTCTCCTCCCTCCCTCCTCCTCCTCCTCCTCCTCCTCCTCCTCCTCCTCCTCCTCCTCCTCCTCCTCCTCCTCCCCCTATAGTACTAGTATGTCTCTGTGCGTCCCCTTTGCCAGGCCCCGCAGCGCATGCCGGACGATAGACGGGCCTGCCCACCGGGAAGCATGCCGAGAGCTGGGCCCGCGTTGGGCGCCCACCTCGACGCCCCGAGCGCACGCCGAGAGCCCGAGGCAACCCCACCCCCGCGGCGTACCAAACGCCTCGACCCTCGCTCCTCGAGCCTCGATCCTCGAGTCTCGATCCTCGAGCCTCGCTCCTCGAACCTCGCTCCTCGAACCTCGATCCTCGAACCTCGATCCTCGAATCTCGATCCTCGAATCTCGATCCTCGATCCTTGATCTCGATCCTCGATCCTCGAGCCTCGAGTCCTCGAGTCCTCGATCCTCGAGCCTCGAGTCCTCGAATCCTCGAGCCTCGATCGAACGACGATGACCGACGACGAGCGACGACCAGTGACGACTGGTGAGGACCGGTGACGACAAACGATGGCCATCGACGACGACCAACGACCGGCGACCAACGACGACTACGGCCGGTGACGACCAGAGACGACGACGACCAACGACGACGACGAGGACCCCCTCTGGCAGGTTCTTCGTCCGGGGAGCGGGGTCCGACACGAGCGGCGTCAACAACAGCGACCCGGTCGCGCGCTTTGGGGGGGTGGTCAGGGGCAACGACAGGAGGGGGGGATAGGCTCGGGGGGGAAACGCATCGACCCCAATCCCCAGTCGCCCATGCATCGCCGTCAGGGGCCTGATAGCCCCACCCACCCCGCCCAGGAACCTGCGGATTCGCCCTCGGGAGCCTATCGCCGGTGTATCGGCGATGGCTCGCCGATTCCAGGGCGACATTTCCCCCCCCCCTGAGCCAGTCCCCTGGTGGCTTTCGGGTCATAACTCCGGCCTCCGGCGGCCGTTCAGAACGATCCGAGCACCCCCGGAACGCCCTCGGCGAGGCGCAGCCGCCGGAAGGCATCCCGCCGAGAGCCACCGAGAGCCACCGAGAGCCACCGAGAGCCGCCGAGAGCCACCGAGAGCCACCGAGAGCCACCGAGAGCCACCGAGAGCCACCGGAGGCCGGAGAGCCCCGCCGAGAGCCACCGAGAGCGCCCCCCAAAAACCCCGGGGCCTCGAACCTCGGAGCTCGTCGGGGTCTCGAGGCTCGATGCCCCTCCTCCTTTGACGAATGAGCAACACACACCCGTACCCACAGGGGGTGTCGGCGAGGGCTCTGGGTGCGTGTTGTCGGATGGGGGTCCCCGCTCGAACGGGGGCGCCCCCCAGCTTCCGGCAACCCGCACCCATACCCGTAGCCAGTCCTCCTTCCAATGATTGCCCTATGGGTATGGGTGTGTTTTGTTCGATCGTAATCCTTATCGTTGCCCCTCACGCGGGGGTGTGGATGAGGCGGTCATGGGAGTCTGCGCCGGCCGGGAGGGGTTCTGACCGGCCAGGCGCTGCCTTCACCAACCAGGGTTCCGACAGGGACTCGTACTTACTCCGTGCCTGATGTCTTGGGCCGATCAGAGGAGCCAGAGGTCATGATAATGACACGTCCCAGGATTTTTCAGGTTCCCCAGATCTCATGTATTTCTCGAACGTCTCCCGAGCCAATCTTATCATGACATCATGTCTCGCCTTGGTCGAACAAGGACGAATTGCATACGCGTAAACGTGGTAGCGTCCAAAACCCGGAGAGCAAAGAGGCACTCGCACTGGAAAGCTTTCCTGGAGAGCTTTGGGGAGCTCTCCAAAGGCGCTTCTGAAGCGCTGCCAGCGACGCTTCCACGCGTGCCTGCACGCGTGCAGGCACGCGTGGACGCGTGCCGGAAGCACTCCCGGACACGCTGCGACCTCACACAATTTTCTGCGACGATTCTTGACCGCCGTGGAGGAGCTGCTGGCAGGCACCACCACCGTCCGGCTTCTAATCTAAAACCCTGCAGCTCTCAGAGAGCTCTCCGGGAATTTTCGGGGGTCCGCGCGGATTTCTTGGATCTGAGGTGGGCCCCCCCTGGCAGCTCCTCCGGCGCCGCCCCTGGCGCGCTCCAGGCCGCCAACAGGAACTTATATATTGTGAAGGCCATGCGGCTGGTGCCGCCGATCCCTGAAGACGACGACGACGACGACGACGACGACGACGACGACGACGACGACGACGACGACGACGACGACGACGACGACGACGACGACGACGACGACGACGACGACGACGACGACGACGACGACGACGACGACGACGACGACGACGACGACGACGACGACGAACGACGACGACGACGACGACGACGACGACGACGACGACGACGACGACGACGACGACGACGACGACGACGACGACGACGACGACGACGACGACGACGACGACGACGACGACGACGACGACGACGACGACGACGACGACGACGACGACGACGACGACGACGACGACGACGACGACGACGACGAGCGACGACGACGACGACGACGGACGACGACGACGACGACGACGACGACGACGGACGAGACGACGACGACGAGACGAGAGGAGAGAGAGAGGAGGAGGAGGAGGAGGAGGAGGAGGAGGATAGGAGGAGGAGAGGAGGAGGAGGAGGAGGAGGAGGAGGAGGAGGAGGAGGAGGGAGGAGGAGGAGGAGGAGGAGGAGGAGGAGGAGGAGGAGGAGGGAGGAGGAGGAGGAGGAGGAGGAGGAGGAGGAGGAGGAGTGAGGAGGAGGAGGAGGAGGAGAGGAGGAGGAGGAGGAGGAGGAGGAGGAGGAGGAGAGGAGGGAGGAGGAGGAGGAGGAGGAGGAGAAGAGAAGGAGGAGGAGGAGGAGGAGGAGAGGAGGAGGAGGGGAGGAGGAGGGGGGGAGGGGAGGAGGAGGAGGAGGAGGAGGAGGAGGAGGAGGAGGAGGAGGAGAAAGAGAGAGAAAGAGGAGGGTGATGATGATCAGGATGAGGAGGAGGGAGGCGCAGGACGCGGTTGAGCAGGGGAGGGGGAGGATGCGGAGGAGGCTTGAGGAGGAGGAGGAGCAGGTGCAGGAGGAGGACGGGGGAGGAAGGAGCAGTAGGAGGACGAGGAGAACGGAAGTCGAAGGGGCAGGAGAAAAAGGAGGACACGGAAGAGGGGGAGGAGGATGGGGCAGGAAGAGGAGGAGGAGGAGGAGGAGGAGGAGGAGGAGGAGGAGGAGGAGGAGGAGGAGGAGGATGGGAAGAACGAGGTCGAGGTGTTGCGGAGGGCCGGAAGAAGGGCACACAAAGGAGGGGGGGAGCATGAGTAGGAGGAGGAGGATCAGGAGGATGATCAGGAGGACGAGGATGATGAGGAGGAGGTGGGTGCGAAAGTGGGGAATGAGGAGGAGGAGGGAAGGGGTAAGGAACAGGAGGGAGTGCAGGAGGATCAGGAGGAGGAGGACGCCGTGGAGCAGGAGCGGGAGAATGAGGAAGAGCATGTGGAGGAGGATGAAGGAGGTCGAGCAGGGCAATGAGCAGGTGGAGGACGAGGCAGACGAGGCGGAGGAACAGGAGGAGGAGCGTGAGGAGGAGGAGCGTGAGGAGCAGGGGAGGAGGTGATGTTTTGTCGGGGTCCCGCGGCCGCGAGACGCGGTCAAAGGGGGTGCCCATGGGGGCGTCCGAGGTCGAGACCGCGATGGCCCGAGGCGCCCTCACGGCCGCGAGACGCCGTCGAGGGGGGGGGGGGGTCCCGGGGCAGGGGGGGGGGGGCGTTCAAGGTTGAAGTCGTGGTGTCCCGGGGCGTCCCTCTTACCACGAGGCGCGGTCAAGGGGGGGTATGCCCGCGGGAGCGTCCGATCTCGAGGCCGCGGTGCCCCGAGGCGCCCCCCCCGCTGCGAGACTCGGGGGCGCCCGAAGTTGAGTCCGCGGTGTTCTGAGGAGGCGCCCCCCCGGCAACGAGGGCGGCCGAGGGGCGCTCAAGGTTGAAGCCGCGGTGTTCTGGACGCCCCGCGGCCGCGAGACGCGGTCAAGGGGGGAGCGTCCGTGGAGCTGTGTTCTGAGCTGCTCCGTCCGCAGATGAGCCTCACGATGACTCCCAATTTCTGTTTGGCACTTGCGGTTGTTCTAAGGGGTTTCGGGCAGGCGGCGACCTTTTCAAGCAGCCCTCCGACGGCCGAATGCCCCCATGGCCCCCAAAGCCGCCCAGCGGATCTAGTCTTGGCCCCAGTAGGTCTTCAGATGGCCCGACAGTGTCCTGATACATCCCAATATGACTCCGTATTTGCTCAAAGAGCTCAAGAAGAGGTCTCAACGGCTCCCAAGGTGCCACCCAACGGGCCACTTGAAAGTCACAACAGGTCCTTCAGCTGGCCCACACCAGACAATCCCATGGCGTACACTTCATACACAGCCCCACGGGTCCACGAGAGCCCCATAAGAGCCTCTTATTTCTTCCGTCCATCATTGTTACTCTATCCATTCTCGATCAATTCTCTTGTGTCTTGCCACTTCCTCTCACCTTCTTCATTGCTCCTTCAGCCCATCCTTCTCCCTCATCCCTCAGTTTCTTCGTCCGCCGTCTCCTTGCTCGACTCTTCTCTCATCCCTGCTGCGGCCCGTATTCTCGCTTCCTCCTCCCCTCCATGTTTTTGTCCTTCCCTCTTTAGCCCATCCTGTGTGCAGGGGGCCCGATGGCAATTACGACCTCCAGACCAGGTTCCCCTGTCTCGTTGGTCGGATTCCCCGTCCCTGTGCTATCTGAATTCCACGTTCCCTGGGTTGTCGGGTTCGGTTTCGTCGATTTTTTCGCAATCGATCGCAGTGCATTGCTTTGCATTGCGTGAATACTGCTGATTGATGTTTCGCAGCGTATTCCTTTACATTGCTCAGTTTTGTCTTGAGTTGCACTGCGTCGCAGTTACGCACAGTTGGTTTGCCAATTGTTCCTTGAACACCTTGCGCCTCTTTGCGCTATGACGGGTTGATGACACTCGCTTGGGATGATAACGCGTCTTGGGATTCACTGCCATTGCAAAGCGTTCGATTCATTTCGCAGCTCTGCACTGCCTTGCGGTTCGTCGCGTTGAAGGTACCTGGGCGTACCTTTGCGGGTAATTGTCGGCCCGCCTTCGTGTTATTTCTACATCTCGGGGCCAGTTCATGTTTGGGTAGGTGCGTACATGCATGCACTTGTGCATTTGTCAATGGCGGGTGTTTGCTAGAATCTAAGCGCACGCGAAGCGCGTGCGTGGTTTTGTGTGTAGAATTGCATGTTTGTATAAAACATATGTATATACATATGGCGACGGCCGCGGCCGTCGGAAGCAATGAGCCATGAGCTCCATGGTCCGAAGTTCTCCATGAACTGAGGGGTCTATGAGCCATGAGCTCCATGAGCGAAAGTTCTCATGCCCCAGCCAAGACGGGCCCAAGAAACCAGAGAGCCCCCAGACGGCCCAAGACGGCCCAGAGGCGCACAAAATGGCCCCAAATGGCTCGAGATGGCCCCAAGAGGAACCCCAGAAAAAAGGGAACACGAACCGACGGGATCTCCAAGGTAACCCTTGCCGTTTTAAACAACACACAGTGAGATTAGTGGCAGAGCATCGCAGCTCCTGAATTCCAGCAAATTATATATTCTAACAAAAGATGGCTGGAAGTTTGTAAATTATACATGTCGTGCGAGTTATATAGATGCGTCTGCGCCGACCTAGATTGTACTTAAGCGCGCGCAACATGTCACAGCGTGGGTCGTATGTTTTCGAGTTCTTCCTGACAGTACAGTAGAGCCTTACATAGCCTACGCAGCTTCCACAAAAGGCATGCCCCCCCTTCCCATAGATTGTGAGATCACCACGCGGTCCGTCACCTCACTGTCTCAGGTTCCGAAATTCCGCTCACCCCTCATATATCAAAGTTCGTCGCGGCAACGTTGCGTGAACAATCTCGGCCGGAGCTATCGGCACCACCTCGCCGCTGCATCTCTCGAGCTGGTCCGATCGGCGAGGGTTCCTGGAGCCCGGGGCGGGGCAGATCTGAGGTTGCCTGAGGGGGTGGGGTGGGGGCGAGTCCGCCCAGGCCATCAGAGAGAAAGGGCGGGAACAATGCCCTCCTCCTTCCAAATTGTAGGCCGATGCTTCTGCCGTCTTTCATCGATGTAGCGGCGCGAGGAGGCTTGCGTTTCTTCCCCCCAGCGAGCGAAGAGCAACAGACAGCATTACGCTAATCTTTCGGATCTCCTCGCGGATTTCTGCCTTCGGCGCTGGCCCACCCCTCCCTGGCGCGCGGAACGCGCCAGGGACGGCGCCTCCGGCGCCGCCGCGAAGGCCAAGCGCCGATGCACGAAATCCGCGCGGAGCGCCGAAAGCTCATAGTTATTCCGCCTTCCGTCCTTTTCCAAAGAAAACTGCGCTGGGAAAGAGCAGGATCGGCCCTCGAGCCTGCCCGCGCACCCTCGAGGTCGCCAACAGGAGGGGCCTGGACTCCGAGATCAACAACGGCCGCCTGGCGATGGTCGCGATCACCGGCATGGCCTTCCAGAACGGAGGGGAGGGGTCACTCTCAGGGGCGCGAAGATTATCGCGCGTCGCGCGTCGCGGCCTGGACTGTAGAGCTGCCCTTCTCCAGGGCGGCCTCGCGGGGGCGCGAAGACAACCGTGCGTCGCGCATCGGAGGGTCGCGATCCTCGAGGTCAGGTGACCTGGGGGATCACCGGGCCGCAGTTTCGCAGAGTGCGCGGCAGCCGCGGGGCGGCCATGCAGGAGGGGTACGATCGAGGAAGAGAAACGGGTGCTCTTTCGGAGCTCCGCGCGGATTTCTCGGATCGGCGCTGGGCCCCTTGCGCGCTCCGCGCACCAGGGAGGGGGGGCCAGCGCAGATCTAAGAAATCCGCGGGGACCTTCGAAAGTTTATGTTTGAGCAGTCTGTTCTTCCTCTGGGCTCACGGGCAACAATAGGGAGGGATAGGCATAGGGGCGGATGCAGCGACCCCCAATCGCCCATTGCCATTGATCGCCGACAGGGGTCCGCCAGCCCCAGCTCGCCCAGGAATGTGCGGATTCACTGTCGGGGCCCTATCGCCGATCTAGCGGCAATGTATCGCCGATTCCAGGTCGGTGTTCCCCCCCTGAGCAAGTCCCCTTGTGGCTTTCGGGTCATGACTCCGGCCTCCGGCGGCCGTTCAAAACGATCCGAGCACCCCCGGGAACGCCCTCGGCGAGGCGCAGCCGCCGGAAGGCCTCCCGAGGCCGGAGAACCCCGCCGAGAGCCACCGAGTACGCCCCCCAAAATCCCCGGGCCTCGAACCTCGAAGTTTCCCTGATCGCTGCCCCAGAACCCCAAGCCTCGAGCCCCCAAACCCCGTGCCGGCCCACTGCCCCTGCCGTTGCCCGCCGCAGGCGAGGGGGAGCGGGCAGCACAGACCTCCGGCGTCCTGAGCAGAGCAAGCGACAGCGCCGCGCGTGCCGCGGCCTCTGCGAGCAAGGTCGCCCACGCGCAGAGGGGGGGAGGAGGAGGAGGAGGAGGAGGAGGAGGAGGAGGAGGAGGAGGAGGAGGAGGAGGAGGAGGAGGAGGAGAGGAGGAGGAGGAGGAGGAGAGGGGGAGGAGGAGGAGGAGGAGGAGCCCTCCTGCTCACGAGGCCGCCCTTCCTCCGTGCACACTGGCGGCTGGGTGTGCGCCACCCTGGGCTGGGGTCGTTGCTCGGAAGCTGGAGCATAGACATTACCGGTGGCGGGCTGTGTTTCAATTCCAGGATTTTTTGAGGGTCGAGGACGACGTCGGGGTGGTGTGGTGTATACTTGTTTCCCCGTTTCCTTGGGGAAACAACGAAGAATGTATACACTAGGATCCCGTCTGCACCAGGATCCGCTTTCCTGTGCAAGATTCAGTGTGAGGCCAGACACAGGCGTCGGCGTATAGAGAGGTCGGTTCCCTACTTGCTTCGCTGTGCAAGCCATTGCGGCTGCTCGCTGTATAGCTGGTTGCCTTCGGCCCATCCCGCCCCCGTGCCCAGGTCGTGGGTTTGAAACCTATCGTTAAGTCGGGCCTGTCCCCCTGCAGGGGGATTTTCGACGAAAAATACAAGATTCTCAAAAATCATCAAACAATAGTCCCAAGAAAGTTTTGGGACTATTGTTTGAGTATTTTTTGGCCTTTTTGGTGCAGTTTTAGGGTATTTCTGATTTTTCGTAGAAAATCCCCCTGTAGGGGGACAGGCCCGACTCAAACCTATCGGTCGTTCGCTGGGATCTCGTGGGGGTCCTCCGCGCACGCTCGGGAAGCCGGCGGGCCGCTGGCGGCAGCGAGCGCGGCGGCAGAGACCGCGGGCCGCGCCGGGGCGCTGGGCGCACCAGGGCGGGTGGATGAGCGCAGATCCGGAGACGACGATGATCTGCACGCACGAAATGGGCACGGGAAGAGTGGGTACAATGCCCAACAGCCGATCCTGTTCATCGCCGATGGGGGCACGATAGCCCTCTCCTTCCCAGGAGCGCGCGGACTCGACATCAGAAGCCTGACCCTGACCCTTCGGCCACGTGTCGCCGCTTCCAGGTCGATACTCCCCCCCGCGAGCCGGCCCCGCCCCGGGCGTTGCCCCTCACCGTGGCCTTCGCCGAGAGGGGGGGCAGAACATCTGCACGAACGAAATGGGTACGGAAAGAGTGGGTACAATGCCCAACAGCCGATCCTGTTCATTTTGAGCAGGACTCGCTGTCCGCGCCGCCGCGGCCTGTGTCCATCCGAGAGAGAAGGCCGCCTGCCCAACAGCGGCCGCTGTTGGTTTGGGACAATATTCGTTGTTGGGCATTGTGCCCATTCTTTCCGTACCCATCCCGGGCGTCCAAGAGAGACGGGGGTCAATCGGGGCTCAAGGGACGGGAGGGGAACAAACACACACACAGACCCAAGTAATCGTCGCTTCCCAAGAATATGTGGCAAATATGGGCCCCGCGGTAGTGGAAGCCAGGACCCCGGGGTGTCCGCGGTAGCCAGGACCCCGGGTAAGGCGACCCAGTTAGTGGTAGGGCCCCGGAGCTTTCGAGTTGTTCAGAATCACTAAACCAGGTTTGCCACAGCTGGTGTTTTTTCGGGTGACGGCAGTTCCGGTTGGTGGAAATGGGACGGGGAGGCGCCCCGGGTACAGATCACTAAACCAGGTTCCACTAAGCCCAGTTCTGCCAACGCCCGATCAAGAGACGGGGGTCAATCGGGGCTCAAGGGACGGGAGGGGAACAAACACACACAGACCCAAGTAATCGTCGATTCCCCAGAATGTATGGAAAATATGGGAAATGGGGGGGAAGACAAAAGCCCAGAAAATATGGGAAAGTGCGGGGAATCCTGTTATTTGTGTGTTTATTTGTGTGTCCCAGGGCCCCGTCAAAGAGACGGGGGTCAATGCAAACGGGGGTCAGCCAGGGCACCGGATCCTGCAGGATCCTGCGAAGGCCCCTTCTGGCTGACCCGGGTGAGCGAGCCGCTGGTGGCCGCGAGGCGGCCGCGCATATTGGCGGACCCGGGTTTGCGAAGACCTGCGTTGCAGTTTTTGTTTCTTGCATTGCAGTTTTTTTGGTTTCCTGCTGACCCGAGTCTGGATTGACCCGGGTCAGAAGATCCCCGAGCACACCAGGGCTCAACAGACGGGGGTCAATCAGGACGGGAAAAGGCATACAGACACAATGAATCGTCGATCCCCAGGAAAATATGGGAAAATACGGGAAGTGTGTGGGGGGGAAGACGAACATCCAGAACATGTGAGAACATGTGGGGAATATTGGTATTTATGTCCAGTTATTTGTGTGTGTCCCAGCGCCCCTTCAGTCAATGCAAACGTGGGTCAGTCAGGGCGCCCGATCTTGCAGGATCCTGCGGAGCCAGGGGAGCATTGACCCGGCTTTGGGTGCAGGATCTTGCAAGATCCTGCAGGGTCTTGCAGGATCCTGCAAGGCCTGACTGACCCGGGCTTGCATTGACCTGGGTCAGTAGATCCCCGAGCACAGCATTTGTTCTGGCCAGGAGGAATGGGGGCTAGGTTCGCGGTTTTGGGTTCGAGAAGGTTTTTGCATGTTTCGACCTTTGGGGGCAGCTTACTGGGCCCAGGGACCGTCAAAAGCGGACCCGGGGTGATCAATTACACACAATTGCACCAGATGGACCCCGGGATGGGTCTGGGGACAGACTTTGAGCGGACAGATTTTGAACGGATTTAGCCTCATCCCCTTCCTCCTGACCAACCTTCTGGGGTCCCAGCCAGTTCGAACGCCCTGGTCGCCTCCAACTCCCTCCCTCGCTGGACTTCGAAGAAAAACGAACACCGTCAAGATTATATTGTCGCAGCTCCGCGCCGTTTTTTGGATCCACGCTGGGCCCCGCTTGGCGGCCCCGCCCCTGGCGCGCTCTGCGCGCCCAGGAGCGGGGGCGGGGGGCGGCCAGCGCCGATCTATGACGTCCGCGCAAGCCTCCGAAAACAAATGTCGATGCGATTCTCGGATCCTCTGCAGGCTGCCTGCCTCTCCCGCCGCAGCCCAGCTTGGGCACGGCAGCTCGAGAGTGCGGCCAGGGCCGTCGCGCTACTACTCTTAAGTCGGGCCTGCCCCCCTACAGGGGGATCGACGAAAATGAGAAAAACCCCAAAGATAGTCAAACAATGGTCTAAAACTAGTCTGGGGATTATTTTTCTAGTATTTTTGACTTTCTTGGGGCATTTTTAGGGTATTTTTTATTTTTCGTCGAAGATCCCCCTGTAGGGGGACAGGCCCGACGTAATACTACTCTCTCGCCTTCCCTTCTTGCCGAGGGCTCTCCTCCCACCGCGTCGTCGCCCCGCTCTTCCCTCCCCTTTCGGGTGCTTTTCTGGCATGTGCACCTGATCAGGAGGAATCGTTTCCCCCGTCCCCCCGCGGCTCTTGGCTGGGGTGGCGGGGCGCGGCGGAGGAGGGGCAGCAGCTTGGGAGGATGGGCAGGATGGGCAGGATGGGCAGGAGGAGGAGGAGGAGGAGGAGGAGGAGGAGGAGGACGAGGAGGAGGACGAGGACGAGGTCGAGGACGAGGTGCAGCTGCAGCAGGGAGGGGGAGCAGCAGCCCGCGCCGAGGGCGCGGAGCGGCCGCGGTGGCGGCAGCGGTGCGGCAGCCGCGGCAGGCGTCACCGGCACCACCGGGCCCGAGATGTGGTTCCCGTAGATCATCATCGTCGGAACCATCCCCGCCCCCACCAGGACAGGGTAAGCTTGAAGTCGGGCCTGTCCCTCCACAGGAGGAATATTCTAAAAGATAGTCAAAGATATGGCGGGGCGCTTTTTTGACATCATTTTTTGTTATCAGTTCTTTTTTGATTATTTTTGTTGTTCAGAATCCCCCTGTCGGGGGACGCGCCCGACCTAAGGGTACGTTGGCTCCCCCAGCGTGCCCCCTCTGGGCGGGGACGGGCGCTCCGAGGCCCGGCGGAGACGGTGCCCAGCTCCCCACCCGGGGGGGGGGGCCACGCTGCCCGGCGGGGCCGAGGTCTCCCCGGTGGGGGCGGGGAGCGCGTTCCCCGTCCAGAGAGGAGGGGGGGGCCCGCTGAGAGCCCCGGGGGCCGGCCGCCCGCGCGCGCCCAGTGTCGGGGACGGTCAGAGGTCGGCGGGCGAAGCACGGCACGACATGTGGCGGCTCGCAGAGGGGGGTAGGGGGAGGGGGGAAGGCTTCTTAGAAGCCCCCCTTCGCGGGCGATGTTTCTCCCCCAATCCCCGAGTTTCGCCCGAAAAGTTTCGCCGCTCAGAAAAATGGGAAAACCTTGGGATACACCCCAAAGGGGCCATTCGGACGCACCCCTACCGAGCATGGACACCCCCCCATCGTATATCCCAGGGTTGGGCCCCAAATTTCTGGTCCATTTGGAAACCCCACGAAGCCTGGGATAGGGGTCGACACATCCCCTGTTACCCCTGCTTCTTAGAAGGTGCGGGCCGTATCTATAGATGCAAGGCCGGCGCCTTCTAAGGAGCAGCCTCCTTCTGAGAAGCCTTGCCCCCCCTCCCTCCACCCCCTTGTGCGCGCCGCCAACGAAGAACGGCACGACATTTCTTTTCCTTGCCTTCGGGGACGCCTGCCCCCCAGGCGGCTGGAGAGCTTGCACCCCTGCGCAGCACCCCTACTCTGCAGCCGCTCGGGGGGGGCGGGCGTCCCCGTCGGCGGAGCAGCTCATTGAAAGTCCCGTTCTTCGTCCCCCAAAGGAGGGAGGAGGACTAGCGCGAGGTGGATCTCATGGCGGGGGCCATGATATCTTCCCGGATATCATGGCGCTCCTTCTCGTTTCAATAAGTCCCCTGTTACCCCCCCCGTCTGTACACACGCCTCGGGCCATGATCTGCGCCCACCCCGCTTTCACGCCCCCCTCTTGGACGCCCCCGAGTCCGCCGCTGGGCCGCTGGCCGCCGCCACACAGAGGCAGAACAGGGGGACGCACGCAAGCAGGAGGAGGTCATCTCATCTCCTTGCTTGGGGTGCTTGAAACCCTAAGCTGGGCGTCGTGCACATCTGTGTTGCGGCACCAATCTCCATCATCCAGGGGCAACGTCAGGGGGGACCCTTAGAGACCACGGCCGGTACCTCAGAATCGCATTTGTTGTTTTCGCTGTCGGCGACGCTTATACCGTCTCGGCATGACAGTTTATATCCTTACATAGGCAAGCTGTGATATACATTCTCCTGCCGTCCTTGGGCAGGCTTCTAAGACGGCGGCAGGGTTTCTCAGAAGACAGGGGTCTTGGAATGCCCCAGATGCTGCCAAGACTCGGAGACTAATACGGTTGAAGGAAAACTGTGCTAACATTTGCAGGCAATGCGTCCGAGATGATGGCTTCAAGATTTTGTTCATGGCCCAACTTCTAAGGGACCGCTTGTTCAATATCACATGGCCTTACACGCCCTTTCAGCTACCGTGCCTGGGTTGTGGGTATGAAGCCTATTGGATGTTCCTTGGGATCTCGGGGGAGGCCTCCTCGGGGGGCTCTTAGGGGCAATTTTGAGGCCTCTTTGGGGCCGTTCTCTATTGGGCCCCTTTTGGAGCCGTCTTGGGGCCCTCTTGGGCCGTCTTGGGCCCCTCTTGGGCCGTCTTGGGGCCCCCTTGTGCCGTTTTGGCGCCCTCTTGGAGGTCTCTTGGGCCGACTTGGGCGATCTTGGGGGCCCCCTAGGCCGTCTTGGAGCGTCGGGAAGCCGAAAAGGTGGGAAAGCCAAAACCTTCAAAAGCCTAACGGACGCCACTGATTGTTGCGTCTTGGGGCCCTCCTGGAAGGCCTCGTGGCGGCATCTTGGAGCGTCTTGGAGGCCTCTTGGGTCGTTCGCTTGGAGGCCATCTTGAACATCTTGGAGCGACCGTTCGGCGTCTCGGGGCCCTCTTGGACCGTCTTCGGGGCCTCTTGGGGCCCTCTTGGCCAGACTGCTCGGGAGTGAGGACTGGGGCTCCAGGGACCGGGCAGAGGACCTCAGGGCGCGCCCACTCCGTGCCCAGAGGCACGGCGGCGAGCGGAGGCTGTGGGGGCGCGGGGGGGGGGTCATGCGAAATGGTGGCACCTACACGTTTGTTGCACAGTTTGTCCCTTCGACGGCCCCCACGCCCGAGACGGGGATACATGACCACCGCCTGAAGGGTCAGTTTTCGGAGCCTCTGGACAAATTCGGGCCCCCGGGGGCCGACATATATCCATATCCACCGCCCGCTGGGGCACCAGGACGTCAGTTCCCAGGCGGTGGATATGGACAAATCCCTGCCTCGCACCACACCTTGCCAAGTCGATCCGCGAATTGCCCTCTCCCACTTCTAGAGGGGGGCGCTGCGGCACCAATTGTGCGAGCCTGCGCCGGCGGGGTCTGGTCCCCCAGGGGCGCTTTGACGGAAAGGTATTCAGTAGGAGGGAAAAACACACAGGCACCAATGATCGTCGATTCCCCACAAACAATGGGAAATGTAGGAGGGGAAGACGAGCATCCAGAGCATATGGAAACCTAAACTGTGTTTTGGCGATTTCGTGGGGCCGTTTTCGTTTCGACTTCGTCTTGTGGTAGAGGTGGACTGACGACAAAACGAGGGAACACGAAAACAAAACGAAAACGAAGAACACCGTTTAGGTTCAGCCCTGAGCTAAGACAGGGAATCTGGGAATGTATGTCTATTGGTTCGTTTCTCCTTGGGCCCCTTCAGTTCTGTCCACCCTTCAAATCGTTACCCACGAAACCAACCCAACCCTACCCGAAGGCCCCAAGTTGCCCTACATTCCAAGCGTGGGGGGCACCCGGGAACATTGACAAAACACAGATGGAACCCGTACCCCCCCCATCCGAAATTTGGGCCTGCGATTTGGGTCGGGGTGGTCTGGTAGGTAGTCAGGGAAGGCTTCTCAGAAGCGCGGCGTGCTGCTAAGGAAGACCCCCTGCTTTCTGAGCACCCCGCCCCCTCCACCTCCTCAGAAGGCCGCTCCCTCGCACCATCCCCGCTAGGGCGCCGCCAAGGGGCAGATCGAAGAAAGCAGGTCTCGGAGGTTTCGGGAGGCCTGGTGGAAAACCAGGGGAGGTCTCCGAGAGGCTTCCTCTCCCTGGGAGATGGCCTCCTGAGAGATCTGGTGGATGACTAGGTAGCTCGCTACCCTTACCCCAAGGAGCAAATCAAAGAAGTAGGTCCTGAGCCAGCTATTTCTCTCACTATCACTCTCGGGCGAGGGCCTGGCCAAGACCAGCGGCGGGAGGAGGCGGAGGGGAGGCGGAGGCGGAGGCGGAGGCGGAGGCGGAGGCGGAGGAGGAGGAGGAGGAGAAGGAGGAGGAGGAGGAGGAGGAGGAGGAGGAGGAGGAAATGGAGGGGGAGGAGGAGGGGGAGGAGGAGGAGGAGGAGGAGGAGAGGAGGAGGAGGAGGAGGAAGAGGAGGAGGAAGAGGAGGGGGAGCTCCTCCTCCTCCTCCTCCTCCTCCTCCTCCTCCTCCTCCACCTCGTTTTCTCCATCGCCCGAGCTCCCGTGGTCTTTTCTTACTCGTCATCCAACAGCAGGGCGACGCAGGACCAACAGGAGAGGAGCGCGGCCGTCGCGAACCTTTCGCGGAGACACCCGCGGCGAGTTTTTGAGGTCAGAAAAAAAGAGGCGCCGCTGCTCGGAACGCCCGGCCGCATGCCTGCTCGCCCCTCCCTCCTCCTCCTCCCTCCTCCTCCTCCTCCTCCTCCTTCCTCCTCCTCTCCTTCCCCCTCCTCCTCCATCCTCATCCTCCTCCTCCTCCTCCCTCCTCCTCCTCCTCCTCTCCTTCCTCCTCCTCCTCCTCCCTCCTCCTCCTCCTCCTCCTCCTCCTCCTCCTCCTCTCCTCCTCCTCCTCCTCCTCCTCTCCTCCTCCCCTCCTCCTCCTCCTCCTCCCCTCCCTCCTCCCCTCCTCCTCCTCCTCCCCTCCTCCTCCTCCTCCTCCTCCTCCTCCCTCCTCCTTCCTCCTCCTCCTCCTCCTCCTCCTCCTCCTCCTCCCCCCCTCCCCCTCCTCCTTTTCTCCCTGCTCCTCCTGCTTCTCTACCTCCTCCTCCTCGTCTTCCTCCTCCTGCTTCTGCTCCCCTCCGTCCGCGTCCTTCTCTTGCTGCCCCTCCCCTGGGGCCTCGGCGGCGGTGCCGGCTGCTCTCAACGCCCGCAGGCCGGGGCAGCTCGGGCCTCGGCTGGTGTTCCCTTCGGCACGATCCGAATGGGTATGGAAAAAAAGGCCGGACGAAGACCGACAGCAGTCCTTGTCCACTTTGAACAGGGCGTCCCCTTGGGTGCGAGGAGGAGGGGAGGGGGAGGGGGAGGCGGAGGGGGAGGGGGAGGGGGAGGCGGAGGAGGAGTGGGAGGCGCTGGGGAAACGATATACTACAAGATGGGTATACTATGTATTCGGGTCGGACGCGCGCCTCCAAGGTGGACATACAGCACTAGTATGTCTCTGCGTATATATACATATAGATGTTCCAAGAATCTGCGAGCACCAACCCAAACCCTGTTGTGTGTCTCGAGTAACGTACGGGTGCTACTGCGAGTATTAACGAGCCGCGTGACTTTTTACACTGCGCGCCCCGCGCGGGGCGACGTTCACAGCCAAAGCAGCGTGCGTACATTCATAACCAACTGAGCAGGTCTTGCAAGCACGGCCTGGGTAGATGTGTTTAATGGCTTCTTCGGTACCAACATGCATGCACGCGTACATGCTGTTCAATGCATGTTTGTGCGTGCGCATGCGTTCACAAATACTCGCAATCATTCGCCTATGCACGCGCATGTGGAACCATTGGATCCCCGCGGGACAACGGAGGGGACAACCCAAAGGACAACCACAGAACAGCCCACGGGACATTCGCAGGGCAACCGTGGGACAACCCACGGGACAGCCACGGGACCAGTACATCTTTGAGCCCGAGCGCGAACCCAAGCCCGAGCCCAGGCCTGACCCGAGCCCAATCCTGAGCGCGCGCGCGCGTGCGAGTGCGCGTGCGCGC